AGTGAATATATTTACTTTGTTTCTAATTTTAAATAAAAGCTTTTCATTTCCTCCTTTATATAAAAGTTAGCTATAGGTTTTCCATAATTTTGCATTATCAAATTGAGGAAGTTCCCTTTTAATCCTAGTTTAATGAGAGATTTTATCATAGACTAATATTGAATTTTGTTAAATGTTTATGTCTACTGAGATAAGAATATGTTTTCTTCTGTATGCTGTTAATAAGTTGAATTACTGATTACTGATTACTGTATGACTGATATTCAAATGTTAGACCACCTTAGATTCCTGAGATAATCTCACTTTTTATTTTTTTATATTACTAAATTTTATTTGCTGATATTTAGTTAATGGTTTTGATATTTTTGTATTAATGTTCATGTGGGCTAGAAGCCTATAGTTTTATTTACTTTTACTTGCTTGTAATGTCCTTGGCTGGTTTTATTATTAAGATAATACTGTTCTCATGGAATTAATTATGAAGTGTCCATCCTTTTTGTCATTTCTGATTACATTTTTTAAAATATATTTTATTGATTATGCTATTACAGTTGTCCCATTTTCCCCCTTCACTCCCTCCACCCTGTACACCCTCTCCCACCCATATCCCCCCCTTTAGTCATGTTCATGTGTCATACTTCTAAGTTCTTTAGCTTCTACATTTCCCATACTATTCTTACCCTCCCCCTATCTATTTTCAACCTACAATCTATGCTACTTATTCTCTGTACCTTTTCCCCCCTCTCTCCTCTTCCCACTCCCCTGTTGCTAACCCTCCATGTGATCTCCATTTCTGTGGTTCTGTTCCTGTTCTAGTTGTTTGCTTAGTTTCTTTTGGTTTTGCTTTAGGTGTGATTGTTAATAATTGTGAGTTTGCTGTCCTTTTTCTATACATGTTTTTTCCTTTATCTTCTTTTCTTAGATAAGTCCCTTTAACATTTCATAAAATAAGGGCTTGGTGATGATGAACTCCTTTAGCTTGACCTTATCTGAGAAGTGCTTTATTTGCCCTTCCATTCTAAATGAGAGCTTTGCTGGATAGAGCAATCTTGGATATAGGTCCCTGCCTTTCATGACTTGGAATACTTCTTTCCAGCCCCTTCTTGCCTGTAAGGTATCTTTTGAGAAATCAGCTGACAGTCTGATGGGAACTCCTTTGTAGGTGACTGTCTTCTTATCTCTTGCTGCTTCTAGGGTTCTCTCCATTTTTACCTTGGCTAATGTAATGATGATGTGCCTTGGTGTGTTTCTTCTTGGGTCCAACTTCTTTGGGGCTCTCTGAGCTTCTTGGATTTCCTGGAAGTCTATTTCCTTTGCCAGATTGGGGAAGTTCTCCTTTATTATTTGTTCAAATATGTTTTCAATCTGTTGCTTTTCCCCTTCCCCTTCTGGTACCCCTATAATTCGGATGTTGGAATGTTTAAAGATGTCCTGGAGGTTCCTAAGCTTCTCCTCGTTTTTTTTTGAATTCTTATTTCTTCATTCTTTCCTGTTTGTGTTTTTTTTTCTTCCTCAGAAGGTCCACTCTATTGTTTTGAGTCCTAGTTTCCTTCCCATCACTATTGGTTCTCCGTGCATCTTCCTTCATCTCTTTTATGGTAACCTGCATTTTTTCATCTAATTTGTGCCCCAAATCAACCAATTCTGTGAGCATCATGATCACCAATGTTTTGAACTGTGCATCTGATAGGTTAGCTATCTCTTGGTTGCTCAAAAGGATGAGTCCTGGGACATTGATTTGTTCTTCTGTTTGAGACATGTCTCTCTCTCTCTTTTATTTGCGGGGGGGGTCTGGTCACTCCCATTAAGGTGAGGGATGGAGCCTTAGGTGTTCATCAGGGCTGGGCACCCCAGTCGCTAGATTGTGACATTGTATGTGAGGGTGGGGTCAAGAGGGAACAAGGGCGGTAGCTCCATTCTCTGTGGGACCTCAGTCCCTTCCCTGGGATCCTGGGTTGTGCGCTCTGCCCTGCTCCACAATTGTTGCCTTGCTGGGTCTGCCAGCTGCCGCTTGCGTACTCAGGGTCCACCCACTGCAATCTTCTGTGCCCCAGATGCCTTATGAGCTCCTGGTTGCCTTATGCACCCAGTTTTCCCTGTTCTCCCTGCACAGAGACCCGAGCCCGGCTATTCCTCTCTGCCCCTCCTACCAGTCTGGATGAACGAGTCTACTTCAACTTCTTGGCTGTCTGACTTCCATTCAGATAAATTCTCTATCAGTTCTGGGTGTTATTCTGCATCTAAATTGTTGTTCTAATCTTGGTTGTGCGTGGAGGTACGGTGCATCCACCTATGCCTCCATCTTGCCAGAACCAGCTAATTACATTTTTATTAACTAATTTCTCTCATGGTTATAGTTCATCATTTACATCTTCAGAAGCATCTATATAATTTTTAATTGGAAGTTGAATATTTGGAACTTCATGTTGTTGAGTTGTTGTTTTGCTGCATTTAGTTTGTTTATAAAAGATCATCAGACTTTGTCCTGGGAGGCCTTTAAATATTTTGTGGATTAGCAGCTGTTTTCTTTCAAGGCTTGCTTTTAGGTCATGTTAGAGCTTTACTCTAGGGGTATTATTTTTTAACTGTAAATAATTTTTTATTTTTTCAGTATTAATTGGCATACAATATTATATTAGTTTCAGGTGTACAGCACAGTGATTAAACATTATATAACTTACTAAGTGATCATCCCCCAAAATATCATAACCCTGTGACACCATTCACAGTTGTTACAACAATAATGACTATATTCCCTATGCTGTAGCTTACATCCCGTGGCTATTCTCCAACTACCAATGTGTACTTCTTCACAATGGAACTTTTTTCACTCATCCCCCCCACAATCTTCCCCTCTGGCAACTGTCAAAAAGTTCTCTCTATCTTTGAATATGTTTCTGTCCTGCTTGTTCATTTATGTATTTTTTGGAATCAATTGTTGATATATATGTTTTCATTGCCATTTTATTATTCATATTTAGATCCATTTTCTTCATTTTAAAAGTGACCCTTTAACATTTCATATAACACAAGTTTGGTGGTGACGAACTCCTTTAGCTTTTTCTTGTCTGGGAAGCTTTTCATCTGTACTTCAGTTCAAATGATAGCTTTGTTGGGTAGTCTTGGTTATAGATCCTTCCTTTACATCACTTTGGGTATTTCTTGTCAATCTCTTCTAGCCTGCAAAGATTCTGTTCAGAAATCAACTGACAGCTTATGTGAACTCCCTCATAGGTAACTGTTTTTCTTATAGTTTTTAACATTGCCTTTTTTCTTTTTGCTGTTCTGATTGGGTGCTTTCTACTCTTTTTACTTCTAAATTTATCAAAACTGGGTTTCCCTTAAAAAGCATCTAGAACAGGAAATAGGTATGTTGAAGTGCATAGGACAAAACCCCTTAGAGCAGTGACAAAGCATGCTCATTTAATACAACATAAGAAATCTCATTTGTGCTTGTGGGAAAATTGCTAAGGGGAGACCTCTGGATAATCCATCACAAGTTCTCAGTTCACGGTAACTATTTCTTAATCACAATGATGGATATCTTTAATATTAGGCAAAAATTAACAGTTTCACAGTCTTGAGACTATCATTACTCAAAACACAACTTTTAAAGGACATACTCAGCTTTCTTTTTAGGACCTCATAAAGACTTGAATGATCATAAATAGAGCTTAACTAAGACAACAGTTTGGCTTGATAACAAAATGTCCTACTTCAATAGAAGTTTAAGATGATTTATAAGAATGCTGACATTACCTCTGAGATTGATGGTACAAAAATGCCATGAATATCTCTGCAAATTCCTCAATCCTCTTATCACTTTTTAAAAAAGATCATATTTATTTATTTTTACAGAGAGGGAAGGAAGAGAGAAAAAGAGGGAGAGAAACATCAGTATGTGGTTGCCTCTTACATACCCCTACCTGGGACCTGACCTACAATGTAGGCATGTGTCTTGACTGGGAATTGAACTGGTGACTTTTGGTTCACAGGCTGGCACTTAGTCCACTAAGCCACACCAGCCAGGGCATCACTTCAATTTTTTAAATATATAATGTAGTTGTTAGAATAAAGCATATTCTTTATGTACAATTCTTGAACCAGAATGAATTTTATTTTTTCATTACCATTAAAAAGCTTTCCCTTTCCCTTAACTGTTGCAAATTCTTCAAAGAGTTCTTACTAAAAGTCAAGAAAATGTTTTTTCTAGGTACCAGAATAACATATCACTTGTAGTAATTTATGTTGCAGAAGAGTTTGTTTCTATGTAGTACATTCATTCTGTTTAACAATGCTTCTGCTGAGAAGCTCAGCAGAGCATTCCAGGGGTACCTGGAACATTTTCCTTCTGGAGACAAATGCCGCATGGATGGCATACTCTGGCCACTATCACACCGGTTTAAAATCTTGCGGGTTAGAGTAAAGCAGGGACAAAGCATCTCTCATGGGAGAATGTATGTATTGAAGGTCCTTGATCTTATCTCTACCCTCTTACTTTCTTTTTCCCCTCCAGTTTCCCATCTTTCTTTCCAAAGAAGCAGGAAGGGACACCAGTCAGAAATAGAAATATGCTTGCTTGGTGTCTTGATGTCCAGACATCAGGAAGCTAAAAGTAGGATGATTATTTGTATAATCCCTAAAGCTGAACATTTTCAGATACACTGCAATAAAAGAAATTTAAAGGGCAGTTTTATATACAGCATTCTGTCTCTACTATACTGCCCTCATATCACTAAGATGATTTAGCATCGAAATCAGTTTAGTTCATCATAAAAGTTAAAGAGCTGCTGCTGGCAGCTTACTAGTTTCCAAACTTTCCACAGAACTTCAGCCAACATGACATTTTGATTGTATGTGTCCAAGAAGTGGTCAAGGTTGATCTGTCAGCTTTCCACAGAGGAACGTGCTCCTGATGGAGTGGCAACTATAATTGTGTGTGTGTGTGCATGTGTGTGTTTTAGGAAAGGGATACACTGAAAAATAATATCACAATTATGTATTTATAAGGTGTTCATTTCTACAAACTGGAAATTTAACAATAATTGCTAGAACAAATTATTACATTTCTAAAAGAAATAAAAAATGCACATATAGTATTAACCAAAAAGATTAAGAAAAACTTTCAATCCTGTTCATCTTCTTAATTAATGCAGTACAGAGAATCATAAATGCCCTATATCCTTGTTACACAGCATGAATTACAAATAGACCAAAGAAATGGTATGACTTACTTCTAACGGGGTCTGATATGTGAATCCTTTGTCCCTTTCTCAATTATTACAGATGCCTTTCATTATAGAGTTCTCATAATTCATCCAACATAGTCATAATTATGGAAGACAATACCATTGCCATTTTCACAGTTGCATTATGATTTTTAGTGTATTGAATAGAGTAATTATTTATTACAAGTAACACATGAAAATACAAATAAAATACCTTTATGTACAAGGTGGCACGTCATGATTTCTATCTAATATTTAATAATACACTTGCAAATTTCCCTGCATTAACATGGTGGAAAACAATAAATACAAATATTAGGTAATAGAAGAATACTAAGAAAATAGAAAAGTCCCTATGGATAAAAACTGTCAGCTCTGGAAACTTTAAACTCAAGGAAAGGTCCTAACATTGTGGAGCCCTCATGCCTGGGCTCCCAGGTTAACTGCTCACAAACACCTTTCCTAAAATTTGTTCTTCTGAGAATGTTCTTATAAAATGTACAAATGTGACTTTTCCTGTTTCGAAGGACAGGGGATATCCAGGATTTTTTTTATTCTATCAGATTATTGTATGTCATCTTGGTGTCACTTGGTTGGGACAGATGATTGGTATAGATTGGTGAGCCGGATCGAAGTCAGGATAAATTCCACAGGGCGTTCTCTCTGTCTATTCCTGGAGCACAGAAGCTGAAGATTAAGCCTGTAGGGGAAAAACAGTTTATATTTCAAGGAAGTGAGGAAGTGGAGATGTTGGAGATGATGGGGCAGAACAGCTGATTTTTTTCCACCTAATGGAGTCCCTTGAATCTCTCACAAGCACTTCAAACACAACACACCTGAAAGGGAAACCACTATACTGCCTCCCAGACCCGTCCCCTCTCACTCCACGATTCCCGTCTGCGCCCTTACCTCCATGAGTCATCCAGACACTCATGCCAGAAGTGTGGACATTGTCTGTAGTACTAATTTTCCTCATTTCCCACTGCCCACATTCAGTTAGTCACCACCTCTGGAGACTTTTATTTGCTAGACATTTCTCTATTCTGTTCTCTCTCTTCATCTCCATCCCCATTGTCTCTGCAGACATGGAAAAGCCCTTGTTTCTTTCCTAGAGAATGTTGTACTAGTCTTCTGACTTCTTTGCTTATAGTCTCACTCCCTTTGAATTACTCTTCCAAAGTAAACATTTGCTATGTGTCTCAAGCACAAATCTCATCATATTTCTATTCTGATTAAAATTCTTAACTACTCTATCCACAGTGGAATACAATTCAAGGTCTGTTGCTTGGGATGACCATTTAATTAAGAAATTTATTGACAAAATCCATTTTTCTCTTAATAAGTCAGGAAAAGAATGAACAGAAAACTCTACTTCTCTTTCACAGGAGAGCCAGGACTTTGGTTGACCACATTTTTTCAAGCAGGACAGAAACAGCTTTCTCTATTTGTCCAAAGAGAAGCAGGAGATAGCGGCTTCTGTGCCTCAGCTGGGAAAGGGGTAGTGGCCTGACCGAGCTGAGGTTAGATGTTTTCTGCTGCTATGGCAGTGCTGGAGGTTTGCTGGAGTCTGGGAGGAGGATGGTAGGGTGGGCGTGTGGGTTGTCAGTGGTGCTGGGGTGGCAACCTGCACCCTACTCTTTCATGGCGTGGTTGGCAGAGGCAGGGTCTTTGGTAGGGATGGTTGCACTGTGGCCTTGCATAGGGAAAAGCTGGCCACTGGCAGCCATGGCTTGGGGGACAGTTTGAAGGGCAGAGAGTGACCATAGGCTCTCTGTCAAGACTTTGCGGGAAGAACTGTAGAAGAGAGTATTTCTGATGTTCTACCAGACCATCTGCCACTGACAGAGGGTCCAGGACACACCCGAGCATGGTGTGGCTCTAGAAGGAGCACAATGATTATAAGGATGACTGCAGAACACACCCTCCCTCTCTAATTTTGGACTCATTTCCTGGGTGAGCTTTATATCCAAAGTTGGAGGATCTCCCAAAATGAGTAAGTGAATTATTGATGGCATTAATGAAGGAGGAAAGAATCTGATTTTATTCTGCTTAGAAGAAGAAGGTATTTTACTAACATCCTGTGAAGACTTTATAGTTTACTGTGGTAAATGGAACTTCGTATGAGCTTCTGGTCCCTTTTCTGCTCCAGCCTACTTTTCCCAGCCCTCTGGAATTGAACTCTATCCTGTAGGTGAGTGCTTCCTAAGCATTCTACAGTGAAGAACCTGGAACCATGTGCCATGTGATTTTTTTTTTTAAATTTCTAATCAGCTGCCAAGTGATTTTTAAAAAAATACAATAACATGAATGGAATGTTGCAGCAATATCAGATTGCTCTAACAATTTTTTATTTTTTTAATTTTTAAAAATATTTTTTTTATTTATTTTTAGACAGAGGGGAGGGGAGAAAGAGAGGAAGAGAAACATCAATGTGTGGTTGCCTCTCACATGCCTGCTACTGGGGACCAGGCCCAAAACCCAGGTATGTGCCCTGATTGGGAATCGAACCAGTGACCTTTCATTTCGTAGGCAGGTGCTCAATCCACTGAGGCACACCAGCTGGGTTTAACAATATTTTAAATATTTACACTCAGTTTCTGAGTGTAAATATGCACTCTACACTCTATGCACTCTACATATCTGTTGTTGGGTCAGCAACAGATATGTAGAGTGCAGCTCTAGGCTAGCCAATTATTTATGAATTATTTCATATATCATGCAGTTTTATAATTCTTTGCATTTGTACATATTGTTCTCCACCTCTAGAAAAACCTAGGCCACTTTTTTTTAATTATTCTGTAAGTCTCAGACCAAATACCATCTTCTCTAAAAAAATTGCCATTAAACTTCAAAGTGCCATGTCTATCTTTCCATACCACTATCTTATTTCCCATATTATATTAAAACAATATTCCTTATATTTATTTATCTCCACTTTTATGAGCTCCTTGAGGACATTAACCATGTCTTGTCCCTCTTTATACCTGGCTGAGTACTTGGCAAGGAGTAAGATCTCTGTCCCTTTTGGCTCAACTGAATCATGCTCCTCCATAGGTGAGTTTCCAAATGAAGTCAAGAGTTTGCAGCATAGATCAGCAAGGTAAACATCTGAATTTATGTGAGTAGGATAATGCTCATGATTAATATTGCATTGACCTTTTTTTTCAAAGATCTACCATGAATATAGGAACAAAGTGGAGTTTTTATCGGAGTGTCCATAATAGCATTTTATGAGGGGCTGGACAGGATACATAGATAGTGGACACAACAATATTCATCCCCCCAGACTCTACCCCAATGTCTGCCATTTTTGCCAGGCCAATTATAGGCATATGCGTATTTTTGTTTTTTTAAAAAATCTATGGTTTTCAGAGGGCCAATTCTTCTGCACATTCTAAAAAGCATCAAACACTAATTGTGTGGGCACTTAATGCTTCTTATGAAAGCTAAATTAATCAGAAAAAAAAATCTCCTTAACAACTCTAGGAAAGAAAAAGACAATCCCATGTTAAGCGTGGATGGTTCATTCTAGCAGGCCTCAAATCGGCCTGAGCTATTTTAGTGAACTAAGAAATATACCTACTTTGCATTGATTTCTGGTCAAAGCATGAAGCATGCAGAATAACAGTGTTGCTTGCAACCAGAGTTTTGAAAAATTTCAACTATTTATAGATTAACTTATTGTAATGAAATTGACCATCTTCTTGTGGTCTCAGTGAAACACCTGGAAGGCTCTGTCACTCATCTAGTTTCACAGCAAGAATTTTCCTTCAGGGCCAGCTGAGTATAAGAGAGCCCAGGTGAGACTGCATTTTGGACCATCTTCTGTGAGGTGTTCGGTTTCTGGACCCAGAGAAGAAGTACATCCTGGTACACCCCTACTGAGGAAGGACAGTCAGACCCCTCAGCTGGCCTCTCTGGATTTCATGGCCTGAGCCAGCCTTTGTCTGTGATGTACATCTCAACTTCAATGGAACTGTTGTTGCTTACCCTTTCCTGCAATAAACTACAATTTGCAGGCTTTGTCATTTGGAGTCCTGCAAGTCTTCAATAGCAATAGAATCCTGGCTAACCCCCACTGTCAGCGTGTGTATAGTGGCCCAGGTAAAAGGAAACTCCGGTTAGAAGGAAACATTGCCAACAGGCGGGAAGAGTGAATTGTGTCATTCCTGAGGTAGGCAGGGCAATGGGAAGAATTCTTTACAGCCCCCAGGCCATGTATTTCTCTGGCAAATCATTTCAGTGTTTGTTTTTAGACAAATAGACAATGATGGTTTCACTAACACAGATCATTAACTTTTCATCTTATAAAAGTCTTTAAAAATAATCTAAGCTGTAGCAGCCTAACAAAACAGATATTAATGAGTAACTCAGTGAATGAAATTGGGAAACTTACATATTTACTGCCCGAGTGTGGGGAGGATTCACCACGCTGTCAGTTCTTTGTTTTTCCTTGTGCGGAGTGCTCACCTAAAAACAGAGGATATGTTTTCATCTGTGAGCTGAGAGAGTGAATAAGGATGAAAATAAAGTTTCTTGGCTTGTTCTTTGTTTTTCAAGAAAAGTCTAATTTCCCTGCAAGAATGACATTAAAGCCACAATTTACCTCTTGGTAAGGTCTGGAAACTGTTCACAAAGATTTATGAGCTTTATTTGGCCATCCTCTCTTTTTACCCTAAAAGAGCAAGGCTAACTAACTCCCTGGGAGTGGGGAGGGGTGTGAGTGGGAGGTGATAACAAGAGAGGCACCCTAGGGGATGAGTTATTGATTTTTGGTTGTTCTATTAGCTGGCCCTGCCTAAGGAAAACTATGTCATATATTCAAAGTATCATTTTATCAAGAAGACATTCTAGGATCCTCTGTTTAACTCAGAGTTTTGTGAAAATGAATTTATAGGTCAACATGAACACTTTGGTGACATACAGGGGACATTACTCAAAATAAAGTGTTATTCCACTGCCCAGTATAAAGACAACTATTAACCTAGGAAGTTTAGAGACATGATTCCAGATTCATGGTCAATACATTTCACATAACCTGTGTCTCTCAGGTAGATTCAAGTTTCAACACCAGTCACACTATATAAAAACAACATGGATTAAAATCTCCAGCTTTGAGAATAAATGTCATCATTTTGCTCTAGGTTTTAGCTACCATATAGGGAATCTGTCTTTTGGGGATGTCGTTGATGTCACCTGTTACCTGCATGGTCATGGAGGCAATAAACAGTGCCAGAAACCTATGAGGGGAACAAACTGGGTTTGCTCTGGGAGCTTTCCTTGGGTCCCATGCTCTGAGAAACTCCAGACCCAGAGCAGTGGCCCTCATGGCCCCAAGGCCAGAGCAGCTCTTTGCCCACTGAAGGCACAGCCCCTCTTGGAAGCTGTGGATATGAAGTACAGGAATGACAAGTAAACAAAATAAACATGTATTGAACACCTACTGTCTTCTAGAAGTCATGTGAGACAAATTATACGCAAATTGTTACAATTCTTACTCTCTCCCTTCAAGGCCTCTCTGGGACTAAAGAATGTGAAAAAGATTCGACAGCAATCTGATTTCAATAACAATGAGAATAATGACATCAATGGTAAAAGCAAATGGAACACATGTACCTAGAAAAAACAAATGGAAGAAAATACTCCAGACATCAACAGTGAGTGTAACAAGGTTGTGTTTCTTGAAAATTTTAAATTTTTTTTCACTTTGTATTTTTCTATCCTCTACTATGTATAATGTGGTCAAATATTAAAATGGGAGTTGAAGCCATAAAGAGATATTCCAACATGGTAATGTATGTTGATTTGCCAGAGTAACAATAAGAGGAGAGAAAGCTCGTGTACAGCTGGGGGAGCTAAGGACGATTTAGTGAAAGTGCATGCAGAGTGAGACAAACACTGAAGGACTGAGAAGACAGAAGCTGAATCTATGTATGGCTTTACAGATCTAGTAATCTTTTTATTGATCTTTACACCTTTGCTTGTTTCTTATTGATGAACTTTTACATGTAAAAATAAATAAGCAAATACAAGTGTGCCTGCTAATAATACAATGGTAATGGGTAATTACCCTAATTTTAGGAGGGGAGGGGAGGGAGACCAAGACACCATCTCCTCTTTCAGAAGACCTTGAGTGCATCAGGGAAGACAGGGACAAGCAGGGAATGAATGGCATCTGGGGAGTATGCCCTGTTAAGTGGCTCCAAATGGAGCCAGGGGAGTCTGGTGCACCATGGCCAGCCTGGCAGACACACTGAAGTGTTTGAAGTTAATCTGAGCTAATAACACACTTATTAGAATTTTCTAAGCAGAGCAATATTCTAATGAATTCAGATCTGCCTTTTCTTCTTCCAAATGTTCCAAAATCAAGTAATGTTTTGAAACTAAATTCAGAGATGCTATGTTTTGTTTCTTCTGTGGAGTCATGTAGTCCTTAACTAATTTAAGCAGTTTTCTTCAAGATTCTCATCGCCTTTAATATTACAAATGAGATAAGGTGTTTTACCGTTCTCAGATATGATGTCAGTGGAAATCGCATTTAGCATGCATCGTCTCACGGGCATATCCTGCAGTCTGGCATAGCATGTTGAACTTGGCCTGATTTCTTACTGAAGCTGTGTGGTATCTCATGTTTGGTGTTCATTTTTTTCTAAAAGCATGTTCTTGTTATAGTAGGCTTTCTCTTTTACTTAAAAAAAAAACCTCCTCATTTAAGTGATCAAATTTTGAACACATATGGGCTAATATTTTCCACGGAAGATCCCTGCCAGAGAAAGAACACACTTAAAAGGAGCAGGGGTTTGGAAAGATGAACACTGCAGCTGATCTGAGGAGGCTTGAAGGCAAGGAACTGTCTTATCAGCAATAACCGTGGTGCACGGAGGCTTCTAGAAAACCAGACAATTTAGCACCCACTGACATTTCCTTTGAAGGTAGGTGGCTGCAGGGCTGTTTCCTTGGAAACACAATTTCCTGACCTCTAAAATGACACAATTTATTTTCAGATATAAGACTAGAGTTTATAAATTGAAACACTGACCAATCCAGTGAACTATTATGGTCACAGAAGCTCAAGTTCCATTTTGTTACCACTTAGGCACATTAGTGCCCACTGTGTTTCTTAGAAGAACATCACATAAAATGTATCACTTATCAATTCTGAGTGATGGGTAGTCAGGTATTTGTTCTATCAAATTATTTTTAAAATATCTAAAAAAAGTCTACACAAGAGTTAGGGGAAAATTGGGCTAAATCTGTGAACTTAGATCAAACCTAATCATTTCAGATTTTATTTTAGTTATATTTTAGGAAAGATGTCACTATTGGGCAAAAGACATTAAGTAAAGATAATTATAACATAAATTCTGTTGAGTGTAGTGAACATTAGTTTATAGAAAGCATGTTTGAATAAGTTTGAAAGGCAGTGGAAAGGGACTTGTGAGTGTTTCAGGGACCAGATTTCGATAAAACTGGTAGCACAAAGAGCATTTGGAGACCATTATGTTTTAGATGATTAACTCTAGCCTGTGGAAACCGACTCCAAATCACCAATTCAGTCTTGTCCTCTGACCGAACATTTTCCATGGTAATCAGCTGGGTTGACCATTAAGAGGTTATTTTATTAAATGAGGTGTGAGTTCTGAGTGGGGACTGGCAGAAACAGAAGTACCAGAGAACAGATCTCATTATTTCCATGATAAGTGGGCCTCCCTATGGAGAAAAGGGAGCTTGGAGAGCCAAGGGTCTTGACTGTCCTGCCACGGTCCGTTCCACTTATCGCTGCAGCTGCTCTACGAGAGGGAGGTACCAGCATGTGCAGCATTCTCCTTGGGCCTTAAAGAACAGTCAGATATTACATTTGTCATCAAGTAACAGAAGGTTCTTTAGAGATTTCTCCCCCAGAAGCCTCAATTCAGGTGTCAGTTGTCTTTTCCATGGCAGAAAAGGATGGTGCGGTAGGGGGTCCTGATCCCAGCCCCCTCTTCTCAAGGAGGGCCAGAGGCTCCTACACGGAGGCTTCATCCAAGTGCAGGTTAGCACACCGATCCCAGCCTGAGGAGCCCTGGGGCTGCAAAGTTAGGTTAAATTCCCACAGGAGTAAGGGAAAGTGCATGAAATTGTTGTGATGCCTGCATGCAAGTCATGGGCAGGTTCTGAGAACCCTTCTTGACAAGTGGGATAGTCATGCTCAGGATTCTGCTTGAACTTACTCAGGACTAATTCACATTTAGGCTGCTTTTCCCTGGCCTGGTAGAATAGGCCTGGCTACTCAGTGGCACCACGTGAATAGCCAGGGAAAACTTGTGAGTAGTTTCCAATGATCCTATGAATGATGTTTACTCCTCTGCCCATTCAGATAGTTACCTCTGAGAGAGCAGTGTAGGAATAAAGGAACTATGTACATTAAAGATTGGAAGGATACATGAATGAAGACAGTCTCTCTTAAGAGAGTGGCTCATGTGAAGGGTTTGGGCATGTCTGCGGGTTTTGGGTGCTCGCACTTTTCACATCTTCTGTTGTCTCCCTCTTCTTTTATTTTGACACTGTTACAGATATCCCCCATTTTCCTCCCCTTTGCACAGCTTGTAGTTTGTTCTAGTTAGAATTTCCTTACTGAAATTTAATGCAGCCTTTCATATCTTGCTCTTGAAGTGAGAAAATATAAATTTTTGTTTTACAAAAAAAATTTTGCTGCCGTGGCTGGTGTGGCTCAGTGGATTGAGTGCTGGCCTGAGAACCAAAGGGTCACTGGTTTGATTCCCAGTCAGCACACATGCCTGGGCTGTGGGCCAGGTCCCCAGTAGGGGGCGTGTGAAAGCAACCACACATTGATGATTCTCTCCCTCTCTTTCTCCCTTCCCCTCTCTCTATAAATAAAATCTTTAAAAAAATTTGCTACATATTTATAATGTCATTTGTCATTCTATAATTCACACTTTATATAACATTTATATTCTCAGACTATTTTGCATTGATAAAATTGGGAGAACTGAAATGTGTTAATGTAAGTTGGTATTTAAATTAGAGCCACATGAATTTTTTTGTAAAATTAATAATTACTTCTTATTTATCTGTTTTGTAATATTGATGTTTTAAATATGTGGTCTACTCAAAGCAAGAAAATAATCTGTGCTTTTTAATTTTAAAAGCTATATAATCTCACTTATTATTGCTGTTGATACAATATAACTCATAGAAATCATATCTATATTTTGAAAAAAAACCTTTACGTTTCAAATTAAGCAAAATTGAAACCTAAGAAAATGGAAAACGAAAAGCAAATTTTATCAACAGAAAACCATATTTTATCCTCATGGGGAATCTCAATTAAAATCATATGAAATTATACAAAACGTGATTTACATTTTAACTGACAAATCCTTGTTCCTGTGGACTACACACAGCCATTACCGAAAATGAAACAAAATAACGGTGATAATAAAAATCCTGTAGCACATGTAATGTTCTTTTTACCCCTACTAAGGAATGGAAAATCCCCCTAGTTATCACCCGTTCTTTAGAACACATCTACACATTATAAAAAGCAACCTCTAAAAACAAGATAATGCAGTAATTTTACCAAAAATTATATTTTGGGTGCTTATCTTTTCCTTATGGGAAAATTTGGTATTTAGTGGGAATTACTAATTGACTATTCTGAAAGAAGTTATACTTTTCAGTTATGTTTTAACACAAACAAAATCCAAGTTAGATTTTGAAATAAACATTTTTCATCTAATCAACAATTTGGGAGCTTACCAGACTCATGAGAAATTGTCTTAACGGTGAGAAGCTTCACACTTTCTTTATCAGACTGAGGTCTGTTTGGAACAGAAAACATTAAATTAGCGCCACAGTAATTAGCATCACGTGTCTGTGATAGAAAGTAAACACGATATACACAGAATGAAGAAGATACACAAGCGTACGTACTTTATGTGTTTCTATGGCAAAACCTGTGCTTCACATACAAATTCACATACTTTTATAGCATTTTCCACTTCTGAAATTAAGCCAATAAATTGCCATCACTCTGATACAGCAATGATCATCTGATAAATTGAACATCAAGATGGATCATGTGAAACACTTGTCACAAGATCTATATGGCACGTCTCCAGTCCTGAGTTAGGAAAGGGAAGATATAGAAATGCTTCTGAACGTTGAGGGCTACCACTGAGTTCTAGGGGTATCCCTTCTGATGTGGTCCTGGATTCTGCAGTGTAGGGTCTGAGCTATTTTAACTGAGTTCCCACCTATCCCCTCTCAGATTCTAAACAGTTTCAAACTGCTGCTCTTTTCCATGGACATCTCAAAAGCCTTTAGGCCTAATTAAGAAGGGTAGGTGATCTACAAATTTTACTTCAAAAGTTCATAGCCTGATAAGCATACAAAAAACACCTACATAAAGGCAGGGTACAAACTCAAGTCAACAAAGGAAACCACAGAAATGGTTTCTGACATTACAAACCACAGAATTGTTTTTTGACAGTTTGTCTCTTCGTAGCACCTTGGTTGCACCAGCTGGCTGGACTGGTAACAACTATTTCATTTGCTTTTAAAAAGTCAACTCAGAACACACTCTACCATCAATAAAGCCACTCAGAACTGTCTCAAGGGCAGCCATATTCTTCCCTAATTGTGAGAAATGCACTGAAAAATTCACTGCGAAAACTATTTTAAATTCTAGGTATGTTTTCTATGATATTTATCTTTGTAGTTATAGTCATTCCTCTGTGTTTACATTTTATTTTTTGATTTTCCATTTTAATGCTTTATTCAAGCTTAAGAACAATCCTCTTTTAGTTGTTGGAATTTCCCTGTTGAAAAGAGAGAGCTCTGACAAATAGTCAAACTCCATTTACAGTACTTTCTACACAAATTCTTTAAAAAAAAACCCAGAAAGTATAAGTAGAAGATCAATATTTTTCCTATGTAAATGATACTGTCAGAGCTTCTGGGAAAAAAAAAGTGATATAGCCTTACTTACTGGTCATTTCCATTGTCTGGTGTGCCTAAGGAGAGGAGAGAATTGTTACTAGAGTTGGAAAAAGCTTGGCTACAAAAAACAAAAACAAAAACAAACCTTAGACCATGCCATTTTCTATGCAGAAATATTTCTAAAGCCAATTTTTACTTTTTTAATTCTCTCCACTCCCTGCCTTATTGATCAGTTTCTCAGATAATTGTATGGTTACAACTCATTCCTCAGGAGTGTGGCTAATACCAGGCCAACCCCACTGAACTTAGTTCTGTGCTGATGTTCATCCTGCAGTTTCACATGGTGATGTTATCACACATTCCACAAACACCAGAAACTGTCTCTGTTTATTTCCATATCTCTGGAAAACATTCCCCTCAAAGTATTGAATTACCTTTTTATATCAGAGAATTGAATTTCTGATATTTCTTCATCCATTACTCTTTCTGGGGATACAAATCACTGTATTTGTGGTGAACTATGATGTCAATATTGCTTCTAACTGCATTTGAATCATACTAATTCAGTCTCTCAAAAGTGCCCTGCAAAATGTCACTGAGGCAAGTAAGGGCAACTAATCTTTTGTAGGCTTTGCCAGACTGCTCTGCGGGGTCTGGCAGAAACCAGCCTGGGCTTAGAGTGAGAACTAGGGAGATTCGTTCTGCACAAGAGCATGGCCCCCGGAAGCCATGGTGGTAAAACCTCGCATTAGCTGTGGGCTATTAGGTAAAATATACAATCACTTAAGGTCTCCTTTGTTTTGTCCCCAGTTTTGTTGTGGTTTTATTCCATTGCTCCTCAATTCCTCTCTCCTCTTTCCTTCTTTAATCCAGCTCTTGTCATTGGATACATAAAGCCCTTTAAATATAATTTGCCTGCCTTTGAGCATCATTATTTTATAAAGACCTTGGTTTCCCCTAATATTTTGGCTACTTCTACCTCACCTTGGCTAAGACATACCACCATGACCCTTAACCCCAGGATTTAGTTCATGTTACCATGTGCTCGCTCACCACTTAGATTGAACATGGTTTTTCCCACCATCAGTAGGGTTTTAGCAGCATTTTAAAATTCCTATTGTAAGTGCTCTATAGGATACCACCTGTGATGCTCATAACCCTGTTCCAACATGAGTTGGTATTTTTTGTATGCCTGTTTCAAGATTTTTTCCTTGGAACACTGTAATATAAGTTTATTACCAGATAGATGTGTACCAACAGACTCTATGCAGTTCTTACTTGGGCTAAAGCTCAGACTATAGTCAACATTATCCAGATAAGCTCAGTTTCATACTGAATCTGATTTATGTTGTCTTCCAGTGAGCAGAGTAGGTTTACTAATTTTCTGAACTTAACAGAGTCTCACCAACATACTGAAGAGTGGTTACTGTGGGTGTTTAATGGTGCTAATTTAATGATAACAATGCTATAAATTCTGTTTGGCAAACAAAGTTAATGATAACCAAATAGATTTGGCTAATTGTGCAATTGCCAAAATTGGTTATAAAGTATTGTATGTCTTTAGAATAACTCTCCATAGTGGTAGAAATTTTATTTTATTTTTCACAGTGGTAGGAATTTTATACATTTCTTCCTGAATGATTTGATTCATTCATAGAGTCCTGTTAAATAGCAAATGTCAACTTTTCAGATAACTTATTTGCAAATCTTCCTCTGCAAAGCAGTTTTCAATAAAGGGTATTTTTATAAATGGGTCTAGCACATTAAGTTTTTACTTCTCCTTTGCACTCCATAGACTTTAACTTGAATGGTTGATTTCCCATAAAAGATAATATTGGTGGTTTAGAAATTTAGAGAAATTAAATTGATTTATAAAAATGATACTTCCCCTCTGGAAACTCAGTAAGAAAACATATTTTAGACATTATTAAGAAGTTTATTCACTAACTCCCCAAGGGAGAGTCATTGATTTGTTTCCTTATTACTTTCCACTAAGGGCTAAAATGAACACTGCTGGTTTTTTCTTTCTTTCTCTTTGCTCATAACTTCCCGTACATTGTCATGCTCTTGTATGAAGCCAGCCGTGCAATGCATGGTGAAGGACTGGCCTCAGGACCAGCATTCATTAGCATCCTGGGGACACACTGTCCATGGGGTAAACAAAGAATAATATAGCTTATATATCTTATAAAAATGGATTTTTACTTTTTAATAGTATTAGAGACTTAGGTAGAGTTCTGTTAGTGAAATATTTAGAATCAAAGTGAGGAAAGACAAGGTTCTATTTTACTGATACTTAAAAATTCAACTCAGCAAGTATGTAGTAGGTTCCACTATATATTATACACAATGCAGGGTGAATACTACATGATGTATGGCTGGAGAGGCTGCCTGATGTTATGGACTGAATGTTTGTGTTCCCCTAAAGTGCCTATGTTAAATCTCCAAGCCCAATATAATGGTATTAGGATGTTGGGCCTTTGGAACTTGATTAGGTCATGAGGACTGAGTCTTCAGGGGCTGAGTGCCTTTATAAAAAAGACCACAGAGAACTCTCTTGTTCCTTCCACTATGTGAAGGCACTGTGACAAGGTGGCCACCTGTAAACCAGGAAGAGGACCCTCACCAGACACCCAATCTGGCACCTCAATTGGATCTCTCAGCCTCCAAAACTGTAAGAAATAAAAGTTTGTTGTTCAAGCCACCCAGTCTATGCTATTTTTGTTATAGTACTTGGAACAGACTAAGGGGGAACAGGCACATAGAAAAGTACTGTAACTATACTATAGCATGATGAATATTATAAAATTCTATAGCACTTAAAGTGATAATACCCCATTCTGCTTAAAGAGATGGCATGTTGTAAAAAGATAGGTTAAATTGGTGTTGGAGCTAGATGCTAATGGACAACCTGGAGACTGGGCATGGTATAAAAGTTAAATGGCAGGCTGGATGTTCTGGGAGAAAGACTAGCGTGGACAAAAGCACAGATACACAACGCTGCATTACACAAGCAGGGCAGGGGTCTGGATGGAATGACTGACTGATGCTTAAGGTACCAGAGGGGATTGTGAGTGATGGAAACTGAAGGGCAATTCAGGTGAAGTGAAAAATAAAATCCTCCACTTCCTGGAACAGAAAAAAGACAATAAAGATTGGAAGAAATCTGACAAAGTAGGGACCTGAGTTAATAAGAATGTATCAACCAATATTAGTTAGTTATGATAAATATATCACAATATTAATAAAATAACAGCTATAGGGTATATAGAAATTCTTTGTAACTATCTTTGCAGTGTTTCAGTTAATCTAAATCTGCATCAGTTAATCTAAAATCTGATTCAGTTATTCTAAATCTTCAGTTAAAATAAAACATTTCTGTAAAAAAGGATAAAAAATATAATGCCATTATAGGAACTAGAAGTATTTAAGAGGCAGGGAGAAGATGAAATAACAAGACAAAAACAAAGAGTGGGGATGTTTAAAAGAGAGCAGTGTCATTTTAAAGAAAAAGAGAAGAGATGTGAAGGAAGATAATAAAGAATTTCAGACTAGAATCCCACTAAAATTTGCAATAATGTTCAATCCCGAGGAGCCAATTCAATGAGCAGAACACGCTGCCATGGAAGACACTTCATTGGTTGGAAGCTGTGCCTCCCAGGGAGGGACTAAGTCACAGAACGTTCTTCCTGAGATTATGGGCCCCTGAATTAGATTCTTAGCAAGACTTCCCTTTAGCCTCTATTCCATGGAAAACGAAAACAAATATGCACTACAAAAAGCATGTCTTTTTTGTGTTCTTTGCTACCACATTCCCCTAAACACCCACAAAGCTGGAGCTATTTCATTAAAAAGAATCTGTCCCCATCTGATAATATCTGCCACTAGTCCTTATCCCTACCCCTTACATTCACCAGCCTTTCATGGATTTCTCTGTCCCTTCCCCATTATTTCTGTGATCACACAATATGGCATTTTATTTCTTTCTATAATTCTTCTCTCCCCTTAAGAGTTTAAATTAAAGTTTTGATATAGCATGTATATTCTCCTTTCAGGAAAACAAAATGAAACAAAACACTGTTACCCACCTGGGTCTGTCTTTCTGCACATTCGGTACAAGCCCACCAGAGCAAATACTGAAAGTGTTAGTACAATCAAAGTAATAACCACCGGCAAAATAATACCTAAAAAGTATTGGAGATATGGTCAGTTAGCGTGGAATTGAATTTCACAAGAAATAGTTTACGAACTGAGTAAAAGCATGCATGCTTTCTTCTGTAAACATCATTCTATTTAAAATACTGTATTTCAAGCAAAGAAAATTTATCTGATTCATGCGTTTTGCCTCAGTTGTCATTTCTGACATATCCACTGGATGTCAGTCTTGTAGCCTTTCTGAAATAAAATTTCAAACCTTAAGGAGATAGTTCCCTACTTTCCTGGAGACTGGAGTGAGGAGAGGGGAAACAAGAGGCAGAAGATGTTCTCTAGAACTAGAGTCAGCTCTACATTCACACATTGTATTCTTTACTACTTTATATTATTACTTCATAGTGAAGTTATTGGAAAAAAGAGCATATACAGCCTACACTGGGTCTGCTTTAGTTATAAAGCCAGCTTTCTAAAATACTCATAAATATCCTTCCATAATAATATCTTAGAACTAGAAAAGACATAAAATAACATTAATGAATATAATTATATATCACAGTGCATATTTCTAAACATGAACGACAGTTCAAGAAAGATGTGCATATATATATATAAAAATATATATCTGAGTGATTGTGGTGTTTCCTCCTCTTATTAAGAGGAGGGTTTTATTTTTTTTTAAGCATCTGCCTTCTTTTCTGACAGTTGTTTCTCAGGTTAAAACAAGAGTGATGAAAGGAGAACACTGTCCCAGCGATATAACTAGAGACATAGAAATTACTGTTAGCATTCAGTTAGGTGTTCTTATCTGCTTCCTTATGTATTCATTATGTTTATCAGGGAATGAAAATGGTTATCCAACTCATTTGTAGGGTGGTTTACACTTCCATTGTTATTAAATATTTGTTTCAAGTAAATTCTTCTGGGTTCATGTGAGACCTTGAGTGACGCCTCCCCACATGGGACGTGAGTCAGCAGGTCAGTAAAGGCAAAGCTGCCCTATGGAATAGAATGGCTTTTCCCAAACCTAAAATAACCTTTTAGAATTCTAGCTTCATATGTATTCACCATACTCTAAATTTCCAGGGAAATTAATGAATATTCTCCATTTAGTCCCAGCATACACACATATAGGGTGGGGCAAAAGCAGGTTTACAGTTGTGAGCATGTGAAACACAGTTTATTCTTGTATTATTATTTATTAACTATTGTACTCTTGTCCATATGAGCAACCATAAACTGGCTTTGCCCCACCTTGTATGTTATATGACATATATCTGTTTTTGCTAAAATGGAACACTTATTAAAAGGCCATTTTTAACATAAAGGCAGTTTTGTAAAGGTGAACAATTCATTTTTATGGAGACCTCTGTGCACTTTGGCTTATCTGAGATTAGTCTTACCAATTCACCTTGAAATTTGGTGGTAATTGCTTAGCACTAAGGTAAGAAAATAATCTCAAAGGTGTGCTCATTAAAATCAGACTCATAAGCAAGAAATTCTCAAAGCAAGTGGCAGTTAGATAGGATTATAGTGGGATTGCGGGTTTAGGAAAGCTGATAAAAGTCTACTTATAATCCAATCCCATCCCTTATTGGTAACATTCAAATATCCCACATATCTATTATTATGAATGTTACTCACTGGAACGAGACGGGTTGGTTGAAGAAGGACTTGCATTTTTTGCATTCTGAGTGCCTATTATTTTAAGAAAGAAAAAAAATAAATTACTTTTGGGTAAGGTGTGCCAATCCTCACAATCCTCCCCTCATTCCCCCATAACCACTCATTAAAGTGAGCTTCTGTGATCTATAAGTAGGATACTTCAAATAAGTACATTTGATTTCATTCTGAAAGAACTCTGTTTTGCACATCAAGACTGGTAGGGAGTTCATGTATACACTTTGATGAGTTGGGACATACATCCATGACACCATCGCCACATTGAAGTAATAGGATATGTCACCTCCAACAATGTCCTGGTGTCCCCCCTTTTGTGGATGTGCATTTTTGGATATCAATGATAAGTTAATAAAGCTTGTTTTTTAAAAAATGATAGGGTTTTCTTGGTGAGAAGGAATTAAACAAAGCGAGTTTCTAGTCATGCACACAGAAGTCATACCGTGAGCCGTTGAGGCATTTTCTGGAATTGTTGTTGATACTAAGGGAGATATACTACTAGTTTCAGAAGTTGAGGCATCTGGTTGTTGAGTGCTAACTGTAGAAAAAAAAAATCAGAAATCCAGAGTCAGATTATAGTATTAACTCTTCTTATTGCATTTCTTTGCAGATTCAAATACTTTGCATCTCTGAAGATCAGTGAAAACTCTTTCATGTTGAATAATAGGATACATATAATTGTACATTAAATCCTAAGTTCTTCTATTATTCTTGTAATGATGATTAAATTTAGCATCATAAAACCTGAGTATCAGTATTATGTTCTCAAGAACTGCCCAAAAAACTTGGGCACATCTCTTATCTTAAGCTATAGTCTGTATCACCCGCTGCACAAGATTCTTCTGGGATGAAAATCTATGCAAGAGCATTAATCACATTTCAGATATAGTAACTTTGGGTGATAGTGATCTTTTCCCATCACCCATCCTTAAAGTGAACATAAATACACATGACTTCATTTCTCTTCATTTCCATAGTGTTTTTAATGGTTGAAGAGAAAAATTGCAGTAGAAATTACGGTTAAAAGGACTGGGGAAAAATAAAAATATTCTTTTATTTTCATCTTTAAAGCTCAGCAGGCACAAAAGGAAATTTATGTATCTTATCTAGAGAAACTGCTGCTTGGTTTCCACTATTATCCATGATCTTTCTCCCAAGAAAAATGTAAATTAAACTTATTATAATTTTTGTGTGTGTAAGTCAACATTTGCCATCTTTAGTGAGAAGGACTGAAACACAAAATAAATAAAAATATATTATTCAAAATCCAGAAATATCAAAAAATTTCAATGAAATATATATAAGCAAATGTTTCATAAGAATCTAGCACTTATTTTTATAACTTTGGGATAAAATGAAATTTGCATTTAGAAAATTTTTGAAAAATCATTCTCTTTTTCTTTTAGTATGAAGTGATATCTTTTTATCACAACTGTTTGCCTCATCTCTCCACTGCATTGCAAGTTCCTGGAATGGGAAAGCCACCACTCTCATCACACCCCACATGGAGCTCTGAGTACACTGGGTGTACAGGAAAACATAGCTTACAGCCTGGATGAACTAAAGAGGCATCTCTTATAATTATGGCTCCTTGAGGAGTATTGAGGCCATGTATAATTCCCTCAAAGAAATTGATATTGCCTATGGACTGTCTTGGATTTTTCCTTCTGTGCCACCCACAGCCCAGCACGTATTGCATGCTCATGCATTTTTGACATCTGTGGGGGAAGAATAATGTTTAAAGTCTGTACCATTCTTGCCATGCAAGAGCTATGTGGGAGGAAGCTAGATATATGCCCCTAAGAACAAAGAAAAGTGTCAGGCTAGTGCACAGGCAGGCCAAAAAAGGAATATTAAATAAGAGTGGGATTTAGCTGAAAAACCTTGGTACTTTTAGTTGCTTTTTTCAGTGTCAAGTGTTTTAATAAGGATGAATGACCTTTCAGTTGTTTTGGTAGAGAATGAGATGGTTGATTAAATAACCAATGGCATTAATCCATCTGGAATTTTCCAAGGGCTAAATTTCAAGAATTATCTTCTCATAGACAGGTTAAATGGCAGCTTCAGTTCTGAGTATAATTTATCTGGTTCAGATGAAACTCCAATTTTCCTATTTAAAATGTGTTGATGACCCAGTATCAACTATTACAGATAATGTTCTATAGGTAGGCAATATAATTAATTTTTCTTAGAAGGAGAATTCCTTGGACCCCTGAACAAACACTTAAATTTTTTTTTGTTTTACTTTTAACCTCAACCTTCAGTTAGTAAATCATTTATCAATCCAGCACGCACACACACTCACACACACACACACACACATACACACACACTTTACCTCTATTATATGTAATGCCTTCTGGAGTTTTCTATTCTTTCATTTGATTTTTTAAATACTGGTCATACTACACTAATGGAAGTTAAGTCATTATTATATTAATGAAATTATGGGTCTTGGCTGAATTCATCAATTGTGAGCCTAATGGGATTCATTGTGTGACTAAGAGAGTGGGAACCACAATGTGTTCAGAACTAATGATCTCTGCAGGTTTTGTTGATATTCTTTTATCCTACATTACTACTAAAGTAGTATTGACAGAGGAAGTACAAGAGAGGGATAATAGATAAAAGCATAATTCTGAAGACTGAGTACGTGGTTTCAAATCTGATTCTTGTGCTTATTTGCTGTGGAATCTTTGGCAAGTCACCTAACCTCTTTTTGTCTGAGTTTTCACATCTACAAATGGTGATTATAATAATTCCACATCACGGTATTATGAAAATTAAATGAGTAAAAATAATTTAAATTGCTTAAAAAGAACTTGATAGTAACATTTTTATATTATACATGTTATAAAATTATACATTTTAACTTATACTCTATTAATGTGTTATATTATAACATGTTGTTATTATATTAAGATTAGGCCCCTAGAGAGCTTTACCTTTCAACCACAGTCCATGTGTCTAATTTTCTCCAAAATTTTAAGTGTAAAAATACATGAAATACACTTTTAAGAAATCTCCATGTTTTCAGATGCTTTACTGCTCTAGTCAAGAACAAGAGGAAAGAAAGTGGGTGATACTCCTTGATGACTTGGGTTTGTTCTTGAACTCTGACTTTTGGTGATTGGAATGATTATTCAGTTGCTGACATTTTGTGTCATGATTTAAATCCAATTTGCAAGCTTCAGGCCAGAACTTGCAGCTGGCTGTTTGAGGTAGAGACCCTTAGAACAAAGTTTATTGAAATGAAGAGACCTTCAGAACCCAGACTGTTATAAGAATATGTATGCAAACTTATCCTATTGGTGTCTGACAGTGGTACATATTTGGCCCTTACTGTAAACCAATTACTAGATAAATCATTGGGAGTTTTAAAGACAGAGACCTTTTTGATGTCCCAGGGCACCAAAAAGTAAGACTGCATTCTATTTTTATTTCCCTTATGTATTCTATGCTTTTTATTGTTATGTGTACATTCAATGTGTCTGAGGGGCTAAATTCAATGGAATTGAATGATCATTAATTGTTTTGAATTATTTGTAAATAATTGAAACTAGTCTCTAATTGCAATTTGATGGATTCCTGTTCTATTTTTAAAAAGAACTTCTCAGTATTTGAAACTAAATCATTTACTTCTTAAAATATTTTCTTCATGTGGCTTCTGGTAAAGCACATTCTATTTCTTTATCTCCTACCCTATGGCCTAATTCTTCTTGGTCTTTTTGGATGGTTCCTCCTTTTGCCTCTGACTCACAGTTGTGGTGGTCCCAGGACTTACTCCTCATCTCTAACTACACTTTCTTCCGTGATTAAATTCAATTTCAAGGTTTAAATACAACACTAATGCTAATGATCCCCAAATTTATATTCCCAGCCCAGACCTATTTCCTAAACTCTAACTTCATAAGCCCAGATACTCACTCAGAAAATAATAACAATCTAAACCCAACATGTCAAACTTGGGCCTCTTCTTTATCTGTAGCCATCTCATCTTAGCTGATGGCAATCATCCCTTCCAATTGCTCAGCCCAAAGACCTCGGAATTATTCTGACTCACCTCTTTCACCCTATCCCACACATAATCATCAAGAATATCTATTGAAAGCACCTTCAAAATTTATCCAGTATTTGGATATTTCATGCCTTCTACCCTTACACAACCTCAGTCTAAGCTACTGTCATCTGGCTCTTGGAAAATTTGCAGAAGGTATCCTTGCTTCACTGGATGGTCTCTCCTCAGATCTCACAACTACACTTATGAAACATGAGTCAGATCATGTCACCCCTCTGTTCAAAACCTCCAATACTTTTCCATTCCATTTTTATAGAGAGAGCCAAAGGCCTTCCAATAGCCCTTCAAACAGTGGGTAATGTGCCCAGCCAATCCCCTGCCCGGCCCCTGCCCATGTATTTGGTGCAGTTTCTTAAACATACCAGACATCTTTTCAAGTTCTGTCTCTACTTGGGTACTCTTCCCCCACCTATTGGGTTGCTTGTTTCTTGTATTTACACAGATCTTTTCAGGGACACTTACCTGACCACTTTTTTAAGTATGCAAACTGCACCTCTCCAGAACTCATGACCTCTCCTTCCTAAATGGCTCTACACCTTCTCTTTCTCATAGCACTTACCATCTTCTACCTTACGGTGTAGTTTAGTTAATTAATATATTTATTGATTATAGTTTTTCTGCCCTACCAAAATGAAAACAATATTTAAGGCAAAGATCTTTATTTTGCTCACTGATGTTTCCAAATGTTAGAACAGTGTACAGAAGAAGGGTCTGCACAAGTCTTTGCTAAATTCACAAACTTCTTGGCAGCAAAGGTGACTGCTGTTGAAGACTAAGTGTATTAATGAGATGGCCTTTTCAATCCTAGTATTAGGTTTGTCACATATTTAAAATTACTGCATTATTAGTTTTTACATTCACTTTGCAATAACAGAAAAGAATAGATACACACTCTAGGCCAAGAGTAGATGTTGAAGGAAATACAACAGAGTACAAGAGATTAAGGACTTCTAGCACAGCCCAAAATTGATAGATGTGAAAAGATAAAGAGTAAAACTAAACAGTATGTCAGGGATTAAAGTAGGAGAGACTATGTTATTGTTTATTGACTCTTACTTAAAAATTAACTCTTATCAAGAAGGATTTGAGGAATTTAAGCAATGATATATATTATAAAATGAATACAATAGAAAAGGAAATCAAAACAAACACAAGTTGAAGAAACAAACAGGTACCTTCAAAGAGTTAATGTAGTTGCTGGCATCACCAAAAGAATGGACTCTGAGCACCTTGCCCCCCCGGAGAAAAGAAGCATGGTCTACTCTAGGCTTTTGCTATCATAAAGGAAAATGGTTTATTATAAAATAAATGGCACGTAAGTGTTACAGACAATAAATGCTGTGAGCACATTTGGTATCATCCTGTGTTCTGAGTAGGGAATGTGCTGATGTAATCCCTGAAGTCTCTTTTGCCTTTAAGATTTTAGATTCTTGTCAGGGTTCTTTTCAATGCAGACTTTG